TCTTTAGAAGTACCTCTCATAGCACCACTAACAGTCAAGCAGATCTGATACTGACAACTCTCTAATTTTAGAATATTCTTTTGCGTAGTCAATGAGTATATTTCGCTGCCATGGTTAACTAGAGATTAGAAATACCGTTTATGACCGTTTGTAAACAGTCTGCTCATCATCGACTGTTACAATGGCATAACAACTATCTAGCCAAGCATTCATAAATTAATAAAACACTGCGCAACTATATTCAAACATTAATGGTTCAGTTTTTAAATGAAGCTGATCGTGTACTACAATTCATACCGGTATTATGTGGTAGTGCCTTTGAGGAAATACAAGCAATTCGACGTAAAGATCATACGGATTATGATTTTCAATTCGTTATAACTAATAAATATCAAAATATATCCTTGAAACAATGGCTGATAGAGATACTAATGTCGCAAACTAGCATTGATGTCGTCAGTCTTTCACATTGGTTATTGAAAACACAAGTAGGAAAATATCTGTGCAGTAGATTCGCCCAGCAACCTGGTGTAATGAAAACAGAAAATAGTGATACACATCTATTTGTTTTTCTCGATCAAGTCAAACAACCAATTGGTCAACAGGTATTTCCACAATGTTATGGGCGCTGTGATTAACATTGATTTTCGAATATCTCTTCCAGTTTTAAATCAATTCGATGCCATTGAAATATGAGCTATTTTGAATTATGATGTACCATCTAAATTATACTCGAATAGTTTACTAAGAAGATACGCCTTTATTAAAAATCCTGTTTATAATAGAATTATTTTCAATGATATTATGCGTAAAGTTATGTTAAAACAGATATTGACCAAACTCCAGTTTTCTAATACTGATTTACCTCATTTTGAACGTGTACTATATAAAACACAGATAGGCGTAGACAATCTTAGATTGAAATATTTTCGATCGTTTTACCACATCGAATTAGATTCCACTACATATTTTTATAATTTTTATTATCTGCGTTTATCTTATTCGGGCCACACAAATCATCAAATGAAAAATCTGAGCAAAAATCAGTTAAAAGCATGCTTCATAATGAAATCAATTGAGAAATACATTACGTATATGTCACCAAAACTTCAATCGATTGGCGTTAATGCGCCTATAATATGAACGGTCGCATGGTACTTCGCTGGTGGCGATCACAGTCAAAAATATTAATCTTTTTGAAACAAAAAGCAATTGCGATTGAAGCAATATCTGCATTCTATATAAAACTGGCCATTATACATGTGTGTCAGACAAAACCAAATACACAGAATTTATTTGAGATAATTGTCGATGCATATTTACCAAACGTATTTTGATGGCTACTTACCCGATGCACTTACTGATTATCTGAACGTTGTTGAACCAGATAAGATTGATTGTGACTTTATAGCAAAGCGTTGTTTGTATTTGTGAACAGTTCAAAATCAAAACCTTTTTCCACCGGTTTAGTCAGGAACCTACAAGTATAGTTCACGAGTTAAAAACATGTATTAAACTGTTCTTATCTCATTAATTTTTTCTTACATGCAAGTTTTATCATATTATAGGATCGCATACTGCTAAAGTTTTGGAAATCAGAACCTGTTTAAAATAGAGCTCACGAAGATATGAGCATTTGGATAAATTGCTGTTTCCATGCTCGTGACAACCCATTGAAAATTTTAGATTTCAAACGACTAGACAAATAGTTTATTTTTTTTGGAAAAAAATTTCAGGAACATGGAAGACATTCATCTCTTTTTTGTATCCGCGTAACTCATATATAAGCAGCAGCAGTTTCATCAAAAACCAGATGTTCGTATAAGTACCACCTTATTTTTTACGTGGAAGGGTGCGCTCATCTCGTTGAACTGTTGCCAATCCAGCCACGTTCGTCTGTTATCCGCTTGTACACGAATATACGACAGTTGAAACCCATATTTCCAGGCAATAGCCAGATGAATGATTACCCACTCGCTTTTAAATGCTTCTTTTATTTTGTTTTTATCTTTCTTTCTTTTCTTCGTTCGTTGTGAAGAAAGCATGCTCTCTTTATGACCTTCACAGCAATATGTGATTATGTGGTCTAGGGAAAACAAATAAAAGGGTTGAAACGTGAATATACGTTCATCTTCCAGTGTGACATGTCAAGTTCAAATCCACCGCCGACGAACTTTCTTTCTTTTTTTGTCAGCTTTCTTGCGTGCACTCGCAGGCTGACGAGGGAACACCCCCAGGTGCCCCGCTCCGATTTCGTTCGTTCATACATCATTCGATAGGGGACCTCGAGTAGGTAAAAAGCCTAAAAGGATTTCGGCCGACGGCTTTTCCTTCGAAACTTAC